ACTAAAACAGATACATGCACACCCATGTTTACTGCTATGCTATTCACAACAACAAAGAGATGGAAGTAACCCAAGTGCCTACCAACAAATGAATGGGTAGAAGAACTATGGTACATTCACACAATGAATTATTACACAGCACTGAAAAACAAACTTGTAAAACATTACACAACTTGGGGGAGTCTGGAGGACATTATGCTGAGTGAGATATTTCAGTCACAAAAGGACAAATACTGTGTAACACTGCTGTTATAAAATAGGACAGACATGGGGAGTTGGGGGGAGAATAGGAAAAGAGTGACTAGATAATGAACATTGCATTGGAACAAATGAGGGGAAGAATAGTCTGAAAGGAATATATGACTAGGCATTATTATATGCATGACAGCAATCTGGAACAAGAGGTGTATTGCAGGGAGGGAGGGAGGAGGGAAAGTGAAGAAAATGTGCAAAAATGGGGCGGGAAAAGTGCCATGATGTCCTGTGTTGCATATAAACAGCCAATACTGGCTGAATCTGTATAGCACTGAATTACTTCTCCATAAATCTCCTGATCCATACAGAATATTATGGAATAACAGGGTCCTAACGAAGATCCAGAAAGGGCAACAAAACAGAGTGTGCCTTTCACTTGCACAATACTAAATGGAATATTCACATGCCTCCAAAAACCCATGTTAATTGTAAAAATTGCAAAAAAAAAAAAAGTAAATTACATGAAGGAAAAAGTGAAAGTTTGGACTCAACCACTTCTACCTCCTTAGGCACAGCTGACCCTAAGCACATTTTATGGGCCCACTTTCTTACATGTTCTTTTAAATCATACATACTGCCAACCACTCTACTTACTCTTGTAGACATTTTTCTAACATTAGTGTTCCAGTTAGATTTTTTTCAAGTTTTGATAATTCAGAGTTGATTTCTTCATTTTTGGATTTGATACGAAAAAGATTGTTGGTCAAATCATTTACTGCAGGAATGAAACTAGAAAACAAAACAAAAACTTGGTCACACAAATGGATATTAATAATTATAATTACCCATTATTTGTAGAAATTATTTCACTATTTATAAAAATGTACGAAGCTTTTTGTGTATACGTTGTTGTTGTAAGGGACCCTACGAACAACGTATCTGAACCCTGTCCTTTCCTGTGCCATCCTTAATCATCTCTGATACACTGGGGTCCACTGCTGTAGTCAGAGTGTCAATTCACCTCGTTGAAGGTCTTCTTTTCTTTCACTGACCCTCCATCTTTCTAAGCATGATGTCCATTCCTAAGGAGCAGCCTCTCCTAGCAACATGCCCAAAGTATGAAAGGCAAAGCTTCGCCAACCTTGTCTCTTCAAGGAGCACTCTGGCTGCACTTTTCCCAAGACATACCTGTTTGTTATTTTGGCAGTTCTTGGGATATTCCCTTTTCTTCTTCAACACCACAACTCAAAGTCATCAATTCGTCCTCCGTCATCCTTATTCATAGCCAGCTCTCAGGTGCACAGCAAGATTGGTAAGACCATGGCCTGAATCAGGTATGGTTAAATCTTCAAACTAACATCATTGCTTCTTATTCATTTGGAGAGGACACTGACAGCAAAACTTCCCAATGTAATACATCCCCTGACTTCCTGACTGCCACTATCAAGAGTGCTGACTATGGATCCAAGTAAGATGAATGAAATCACTGACAAGTTCAATCTTTTCTCCTTCTGTCATGACGTTAACTGTCAGGGGTGAGGATTTTTATATTCTTGATGTTAAGCTGCCATCCATATTGAAGGCTGTATATAGTCTTTGATCTTCTGTAGCAAGTGTTCAAATCAGCTGGTATTCAATCTATTCCTGAGGCCTTATTTTTTGCCACCAGCACCTTCAGTGTCTATATATATAAATTAAGCTCTAGTGGCCTATGGTAAAGGGCTGCACTGCCAACCCAAAAGCATGTGGTTCGAATCCGCCAGGTATTCCATGGAAGAAAGATGGGCAATCTCTTCCCATGGGATTTACTGCCTTTGAAAATCCACTGGAGGGTTGGCTACGAGTCAGTTCTGACATGATGGTACATAACTATATAACTATCTATTTATCTATCTAATCTATCTATCTATCTATAAGATACAGAAGCTCTGGCAAGTTAGGGATGGTGAGGCGTTCCATTGCCCTACAAGACTGACACATGCCCTTAACCACCAGACTCCATACATCTTATTTGCACTAGCAGGAAGCTACCAAGTTCCAGAAGCATCTCATTTGAACAGTAGCACCCAAGTCACTATGTGACAGCCACAAAGCTCAATTCTGACTCATAGCAACCTTCCACTGGGTTCTCCAAACTGAGGAGATGGCCCATCTTTTTCCTGTGAAGAAGCTGGAGGATTCAAACTATTGACCTTCATGCCATCAGAGCTTCTCAAAGACTATAATTAGAAGAGCCATATTAAGTAATACACTGTAGGCCAATGCAATCTTGGAACAAAAGAACATACTAAATTTTAACCAATGTATATGAATTAGTTAACTCACTCACAAAGCTAAGGAGTTAATGAAAGTCACTGTTGTTGCATTTATCACCAATTATCTATGTAGCACTACTCAGAGAAATAAAAGATCTTCAGAGTATATGACATAAGTAAAAACTGTTAGAATTACCTAGTTAGTGAGGTGTCCTTTGTTTCAAGCACCACTGCAATTTCAACCAAAGCGTTCAGATACCGGGAACCAGCACTAGAGAGTTTGGCGGGGGAAAAACTCACACTCTCCATTAGAAGGTCTTGAAGATGCTTAGCTGAAAAGATAGAACATGCTTTTGATGTCATAGCTAAAAAAAATCACTGCCACAGCTGTATATACTGATTTTCTCTTCCAAGAGTTTAGGTCTAGCTCTTACATTTAAGTTTGATTAATTTCGAGTTAGTGTTTATATATGGTGTGAGTTAAAGGTCTAGTTTCATTCCTGAACAGGTAAATATCCAGATGTCCCAGAACCATTCTTTCAAAAGACTATTCTTTGTTCCACAAAATGGTCTTACGGCTCTTGTAAAAAACCACTGGGGAACAGTACTCGCTTCAGAAGCACACACATAAAAATTGGAACAATACAGAGAAAATTAACATGGACCCTGCGCGATGATGACATGCAAATTCATGAAGCGTTCCGTATTTTTTTGTCATTTCAGTCCAGATAAGGTAGGACCTAAGAATCTGTGATTTTTATCTAGAATTATAATTTTTATTAATTGTAAAACTGATGAACTGTTGTATTTGATCCTAATCAAATGTTTATTTGTCTATAACTATATCCCCAGGACCTAACAAACTCAATAAACATTGGTTTAAAAAAACCAGAAAACAAAACAAACCACTGGGAAGTGTCTTTTGCGAAAGTGACTTTCCCACATGATAATGTGAACAGTTCCATTGACCCCCTTCCCCAGAGAAAATGGAGGAAAATTATTATTAAAAAAAAAATCCACCAGATGCTCTGCTGGAGAAGGAGGGGCAGTTGGATCCAAGTCCATGGTACACACAAAAAGGAAAAAAAGAAAAGGATTTTAAAGCCTATTTGAGAGTAAGCATGTCCTATGGTCGGTCATACAGCAATTGAAGGAATCCTCTCCTCAAGAGAATTGGCATTTGAAACAGGACCATTTTTCCACTTCTTCCGGTTTAGACAGACAAGAGACTTCAATCCACTCTAGAAAAAAACATTACTTCCTTCTCTCCTCAGCAACCAGTCACAGGTCTGTGTTCCCAGAAGCAGCAAGATTTCAGTAGTTTTTCATCCTGTTGCCAGCTGCTTGCTGCTAAGACAGTCCCGGGGGCTGTGGTTAGAAATGTGTACTTCCTTCTGCTCAGCTTCTACTGCTCTAACAGTATGTCTCCCTTATGGCAATATGGTGAGGATTCCGGGATAGGTTGGCCTTCTCCCAGTCATGAGATGATGAACTCACTCCAGAAGACAAACCAAGACGATCTCAGGCAACAGAGCCTCCCAACTGGTACAGGCACCTACAAGTCACAAGCTGTTCAATCTAAATGATAGGAATTTGAGTGGGAGCTCTAGAACACGAGTATTTTTATTCAAATTCCAGCTCTACCCCTTACTTGTTGGTGGACTTTGACAAAGGTACTCAACTCCTCAGTGCCTTGGTTTTCTTATTTGCATGATGGGCCATCTCATAAAAGCTACTTCAAAGGACTGTTCTGAAGATTCATTAACACCTATAGCACGTCTTTCAGTATCTAGCACAACTATTGGCCCTTTTAAATATTATTATAGGGAATGATGGAGATCTTAATAACCATTGAGCCTAGCACATAACTTTGGTTCCTAACTCAGAGACAGAAAAACTTGCTTCACAAATATGTTATTTAGGAGAGAACACTGATGTGCAAAGCCCATTTGGTAGTTTGAGAGTAAATATTACTTATTAATTTGTAATTTTCAGCAAGCTACTTCTGGGGCTTAAATTGAGCTAGTATTTTTTTTAAAGTTCTATTGAAGATCTTCTGACAAAGAAACTGAGAAAACAGTCTGTTACACTCTTTTAAATTTGGGGCTTGCCTTCTAGGAACCAGTGCCTGAATTCATCATGTAGACTATAAAACATTTCATTACAGAAACATTTTACAAATCTGTCCTTGAGAAATTCATCGACGAAAAGCTATAGTAAATAGGTATGAAAAGATATACTGGGTGACTCTTAAAAATTTCAGGTTCATCGCATTCAAGCTCTGAAAACATATGCAGCATGTCACATATGCCAATTTTCTGTGGAAGGTTGGTTAATTTTATTTTGAAACACCAAGCCGTTAAGCTTCTTTTACTCACACTACTCAACTGTCATCAAGGCAATCCCAACTCCAAGTGACCTTCCATTGGGTTTCTAAGGCTGTAAATATTAAAGGGAGGAGTCTCCCCTTCTTCTCTATCTTAGTGTCACTGCTGGATCAGAACAACCAGAGACTCATCAACTTTTGGTTACCGGTGTAATCTGTTACACAGTTTACTGCCAGAGCTCCTTAAACTTCTGTTATTCCCCAATCAGGGTAAGTCTGACTTTTAGCTCCTAGCCCATTGCCTGAGAGTAGATTCCAAGTCACAGCAACGTTACTGGGCAGAGAGAACTATTCGATATCATGTCCAAGGTGCGAACTGCCACAGCTTTTCCCCCATGAAGAAGCTGGCGTGACTTTTCAGTTAAGCACAGTGTGTCATGAGTGTTTCTCACTACACAGAAAATTCTCTAATATTGATGTTGGCAGATCTGGCTCTGACCTTAACATGGAAAACTGAGCCAAAATTCGACAGTCTATATTATCAAGTCACTCTGTGGGAAAAAGATGGGCAATCTCCTCCTGTGCAAGTAACTGCCCCTGAAAACCAGCTGGAAGGTCAGTTATGGGGTGGTTCCGACTCCACAGTACACAACTTAATAACAGATAGGGAGCTCTAGTGGTTTCATTGCAAGGGGTTGAGCTGTCAACTCAAAGGCACAAGGTTCAAATCTGCCAGCTGCTTTGTGGGAAAGAGATGTGCAATCTCCTCTAGTATCATTTATTGCCTCTGAAAACCCTCTAGAGCTGAGTCAGTTCTGACTTGACTGTATGTGGCAATGATAATAACAGATAGAATCTTGATGCTACAATGGTTAAGGGCTTGACTACTAAGCAAAAGGCCATGAGTTTGAACCCAAGAGCTGTTCCACAGCTGACAAGACCTCATGATCTGCTCCCATAAAGATTTAAAGCCTAGGCAATTCTGAGGCAGTTTTACTCTGACCTATGCGGTCTCTAAGAGAACAGATGTGACAGCATGTAATAGCTGTTAACGTCTGCTCAATAATATTTGTCTTAAAACATCTTATTGACCAACCATGTAGTTCTGGTTTGAGAGGACAAACAAAAAATTCCACACAAATAAAACAAACAAACAAAAATCCACCCTATTTTTTTTTAAAATCTCCTTTACTCATGTAGTATTTTAATAATGACAAAGTAGAATTACCTACAAACAAAATCACTTAAAAACATACAGATGGGCAAATATGACTACAAAAAGGAGGCCCAGAAGTTGTAGTTCCTACAAAGGCAGCCGTCTGAGTCCACCAGCTGATCTGTGGGATGAAGGCTGGAGTCTCCTGTAAAGACTTACAGTCCCAGAAACCAGAAGGAAGGTCACTATGAGTTGAAACTGACTCCAGAGCACTGGGTTTTTTAGGTTTGGTGACGGCAAAGGTACAGCACCAAGGACCTCTGAGGCTGAGAAACTGTTCTGTGTCCTGAATGTGATGAGGGTTCCACAACCTGTATCAAAACTCAAAAATTGTATTCCCTATTTTTTGTTTTAATGTTGGAAAGAGCAAATATACAACATAAGTAGGCATACTAAAAATGGGATTCTGTCCAAACATCTTAAGTGACAAAATGGCTAAGCATGGGGCATATGGGGGCCCCACGCCTTTCTCATTCCATATAGTCTCACCACCTTAAAGGATTTTGAATAAATGTTTTTGTAGTCTGAATTACAAAAGCAGGAATCCTAATGGTGCTTTTGCTAACAAAAAGGTCAGCAGTTCAAAATCACTCACAGTGGGCCTAAGAAAAGCACGGCAGGTGGTGTCCATAAAGACTTACAAAGCCTTGGAAACCTTTGTGGCAAGTTCTGCTGTTCCATAGGGTGCCTGTGAGTAGGAACTGACTCATTCAAGGGCAACAGGGTTTGGTGGTTTTAATGAAAAATACTTTTTGTCAAACTATTAAAAGCACTAAAACTTATGGCTATGGAGTCGGAACCAAGTCATAGCTGCCCCTCCAGGGGTTTCCAGATGCTGTAAATTGCACCAAGAGAAATTACCCTTCTTTCTGGATTCAAACCACAAGATAGGTATGGCCTTTGGATTAACAATACAACTCTCTATGGACTAGACCACCAGTTGTAGTTATGTGCCAATGAGTGGAAACAGGCTCATAGCTAATCCTCCAGGTTTTCAGAGCCTGTAGCACAGAAAGCAACTTTGTCCTATGGAGCAGATACCAGATTCAAACTGTGTGCCTTTGGGTTGGCAGTGCAACTCCTTACCACTAGGCCATCACAATTCTCTTATTAACACACACACATACACACCCCCACATCTGGCCAACAGAAAATTGCTGACTACACATACCTGTGTGAGCTGTCATGCTCACAGTTCATGGCAGAAGCCATCAGAAGTGTCCCAAAGCCTCAGTACGACTAAAGCATGGGAACAGGAGATCGACTAAACCACAAGTTTGGACTTGCCGGACTTCCTGTGTTCTTGTTAAGAGTATCAGTAAAATATTTAAGCAAGTATTACAAGCATGGTATTTAGGATTTAAGAAAATTACTCTGACAACACAGTGGATGGGAACTCTGGGTGAAATAAAGGAGCAAAGCTAACAGGTGGGTTGCCCTCAATCTTCAAGGTTAAAAAATGTGTGGTTGTTTATAAAACACAATGGATGGGAATGATTGTATGAAACACAATGTGAATAAACAACAGTGTATACGAATTTTGTAAGCAAACCAAAATAAGTTGTATAAAAAGTTCAACAGTGAATGAATGGAAATCCAAAGTCTCTGTAAATTTTCATTAAAATTAACAACAGTAATAATAAAGATGCTAATTGCTACTCATCAAAGCAGCAAGTAAAACAATGTCTTTGTTACATAACACACACACACACACAAAAGTATATAAAAAAGATGTGTGGCCGGTCACCTTTAGGTATGATATCTTTGCAAACTCTGGAGTTAACGCTCACCTTCTGATTCATACTCGCTTGCTTTCTGTTTCAAGTCCTCTATCACCAGGGAGACATCCCTGTCCCGGGTCTTGTTCCGTTCTGACAGGTGGTAGAGAATCTCTGTGGTCCGTGGGTTCACCTCATATTGTGGGATGGGATGATCTCCAAATATATTTTGCAACCATGCGGCAACCTACCCGTTAAAGGAAGGCAGACGTTACACGTTTTGTTCGTGGGTGAAACGGCCAAAGGAAACGGAGTGCCTTCTATGAACCTCCCAGCTTTTCCCGGGGAGATGATGGTAGATGGCGGGGAACAAACAGTGCGTAGGTACAATGAACAACGGGACATGATCAGAGAGCAAGCCATTCTCTCCCAAAGCTACGAACGCAGTTCACATTAGTTTGCACCACTCGAGAAAACCACTAAGCTCAGTACGAGCCGGGAATCGCCGGGCTCGGAGCAGGACCGGCAGGCAGGCCGCTCTGGGTTCCCGAGGGATGCCTATCAGCGGACCCTAAGTGCCCCTCCTGGCCGGAGCACAAACCGCGGGAAGCCCCGCGAAGGAAGGGGGACGCTCCTTCCTACCGGGTCTTAGGGGAGGGAGAGACTCGCCGATCCCGAGGCGGAGGTAAATAGAGGGGAAGAGAGAGTAAGCGTGGCTCCGAGGAGATCCACCATCGGAGGAGGCGGAGGTGTCAAAGCCGTCGTTTTCAGGAGTCCCTAAATCCCCACTCCTGGCCCATCACCTGCGCGCCTTTCTCCAGATGATCTCCTTTCTCCAGCTGCGACCCCTTCTCCGGCAGAGCCGCCATAGCGGCAACTCCCGCCACCGCGATAACTCCCGTCACTCCCCGCGGCACGTCCCGCCCCCACGAGACTGGTCCCGCCCCCCCGAAGGCGTGCCTTACCGTGGCTCCGCCCACATGCCTTTGGCCATGCCTACCTGGGGCCTAGGGTTGCTGGGAGTGGTGATTTTTCATGACTCCCCAGCCCCTTGTCCAGTCTCTGGACCAGCTAGACCCAGGGCAGGTACAGGCATTGCCTTTGTCTTCCACTCCTTCCAAAGGATCCGCTGTTCTGCATTTTCATGATTTACCATGGGGTTTGGGTTTGATTGTATGCCTCTTGCAATCACTTCTACCATATATTGGATAAATTTCCCCCTGCCCCCATTTTCATTAGCTAATCCTTTGGGATTTGCACTTCTTTTTTTTTTTTTTATTTTTCTTATTTTTATTATGTGTGTGTGTGTGTGTGTACCATCCAATCAGATTTGACTGGTATAGGAGGAGATTGTTCCTCCTTCTCCAGCAGAGCATCTGGTGGATTTGAACCGCACACCTCTGGGATTGCAGTGCAGCTTCTTGCCACTAGGCCACCAGAGCTCGCCGGGATTTGCACTTCTAACCCAAAAGCCATGCGTTTCTGGTGGTTTGAATCTACCAGCTGTGCTGAAGGAGGAAGAAGGACATTCTCCTTCTGTGAGATGACCATCCTGTGCCATCTTCTCCATGTCTGCATTAACTCTGCACCACTGGGCTACCAGAGGTCCCTAAAGAAGACCAAAGAAGTGATACCTTTGAACTACGGTGTTGTTCAAGCATACCGAATGTGTCACAATGGCCAGAAGAACAAGCTTTGGAAGAAATGCCACCAGAATGCTCCTTGAAAGTGAGGTTGGCAAAATTTCATGTACACTTTAGACATGTTCTCAGAAGGGGCCAGTCCTTGGGGGGAAAGGACATCATGCCTGGCAAACTAGAGGGTCCATCAAAATGAGGCTACTACTTTGGGGGACACTAAACTGTGTCCTCCTTAAAATATGTGTAAACTCGGCCAGGCCTGAATCTCACTGGCTTGACCATTATAATCCCCCATGATGTGATCTGATGTGACAAGCCCATCATCAGCTGTGGTAATGGAGTTGTGTTGTTGTTAGGTGGCATCGAGACAAGTAGAACTCACAGCGACACTATGAACAACAGACCTGAATCCCATCCTATCTGTGCCATCCTCACCATCTCTGATACATTTGAGTCCACTGCTGCAGTCAACAAGTTAATCCGCCTCTATGGGGGTCTTCCTCTCTTTTGCTGACCCTCCATCCTTCCAAGTGTGATACCCTTTTCCTAGAAACAGCCTCTCGCCAATCCCAACAACATGTCCAAAGAACAAGATGAAGCTTTGTCGTCCTTGCCTCCAAGGAGCACTCTGGCTGCACCTTTTCCAAGACCTACCTACTTGTTCTGTTGGCAGTCCGTGGGATAGTCAGTACTCTTCTCCAATGCCACACCACAGTTCTTGTACCAGGATCTTGATTTTCAGTATGAGAGTGTGAGGAGACTTGGGGCAAGGAAGGCACAAGGTGAGGTGACCAAAAAGGACACCTTGCAAAGCCTAGGAGAGGGGAGTAGGTGCATCCTAACTGAAGTTGCTGGATCTTCCCTTTTACTTCTTATGACTTAACAAGCAAATTCATGACAACTGACCCACAACTCACTGAACAAGAAGAGAGCTGATCAAGGCAACTCTCTGAAAGCAACTGGCAACTCAAAAAGCCAACAACTCAGAGGAAATGCTTTTTAATATGAATACTATGTGTGTAAGTATACAAATGCAATCTACCAGCAGAAACCAGGATCCTACCCATAACCACCAATTATTATTTTATCCAAGAAATAATAAGTTACTAAGACATTAAGTTACTAAGGATTGAAAAGAGGAAAAGTATACTCTGAGGTCCTCATCTGTTTATTAAGAAAGAGATGCTTCACAGGCCGTGGTCACAGTCCCATCATCTCCACTCTCTGTGTAAGCTCAGCTTCAATGGTTTCCTAAAAGCAGAAAGGCACACTAGAGTTAATGAACTAAAACAGATGTCTAACTTCAAGTTACTCTACAGATTTAATAACAGCAATAACAACAATTTTGAGTATTTCTGAAAACGAGAATATAAAAAAATAATAAAACTAGATCTTTCATAAGCAGTTCATAAGTGTGAGGACCGGGTGTTCATGCTTTTGTATGACAATGTGCCTCCCTTAAATTCTGTTACAAAGTCGGCACACTATCTGTCTGACATGAAAAGAATAATAAAAGTAATGTTTTTTAAATACTACGTAAATTATTAATTATAAATTATTAATTTGCTTTTCAACATTTACTTGCTTTTATAACTTTTCCTTTTCTTGTCCCTCCCAAAAGGTTTTCGGGCTCCTAACTGATTCTAATTAACATCTGAAGAGGATGGGGGTGGGAGTAAATCCTTTAAAGGACTGAGTTGGTATAAGATGCCTTTGAACTGTGGTGCTGAAGAAGAGTATTGAATATACTATTGACAAAGAGGTGAACAAACCAGTTTATCCTGGAAAGAGTGAAACCAGACTGCTCCTTGGAGGCAAGGATTCTGAGGCTTTGTCTGACATACTCTGGACATGTTGCAAGGAAGAACCAATCCTTGGAGAGGGACATCATGCTTGGGAGAGTGGAGGGACAGCAAAAGAGAGGAAGACCTTCCACGAGACTGAGATGGATTGATTTAGTGACTGGGGTAATGAGAGTAGGTGTGTCAGAAATGATAAGGCTCTGGATAGAGCAGGGTTTAGAGCTGTTGTGCATAGGGTCGCTGTGATCGCAAGCAACTCAAAGGCACCTATTAAGAACAACATTTCTTTCTTAAGCAACTGATTTCTACAATATCTTTTGAATCAACTTTTTTTCCATTCTCATTGTCACTGTCCTCATCCCTTCTCATCTGGCTTGAATAAGCCAACTGGTTTCTGTAATTTCCGTTCACTTTTTACTGATTATGGTAGTGTTTAATATTCTTAAAGCACTGGTTTGGTCAAAGTGTATCTTTGCCACATTTCTCTTTAGGTTAAAGAATAGAACAAGGCAACATGCAGGAACTTTTAGGGGTTTCTGATAGCCTCTAGGCGCAACCCTTTTTACATAAGCACTTGACATCATAACCTAGCTGTCCTCTTCAACCCTGGCTTCCACTACATACTCTGGACTAGCTTGTGGCAATTCTTCCTCATTTGCCATACTTGAAAAAGTTTTCCACTGGGCACATATATACATGCATGCCAAAAAAGTACTGGACCATGGGAATGACGCACAGAACTCTGGGGCTTTATTTACTTCTGAAGAGGAAGGAAAGGGTAAGGATGACAGGGGCTTTCACTCTATCGGCACCTACTGTATTTCTGTAGAAAAACATCATAAGGATAGAACTACTTACCAATTCCCTCTTTGCGTCTTCAATTTTTACTTGAGCAAGACATGGGTTCTTTAAGGAAAAAACAAAACAAGGACAGGTTATATTGCCTTTAATTCAGCTCCAGGGGGAAATGTAGCAATAATTTTCAAAAGGCAAAAAGTTATACAGACAGTGAGTGTATCCAATGAACATGCAATACTGAAATTCACAAATGACATTAAATCTTTAAACATGAAATTACTATTTTCATAGCAGTAATTACTATGAAAATGTAATTATTTTGTGGCAGGTTAAAATGGATGACAATACAAGAATAATTACCGGCATTAAATCTAAATAAGATTCCAATTTTTTCTTCAAAGGTTCTGTCTGTTGTTTTAGTTCTTCCAGTTTCTGGGAGTAAAACAAAAAAAGATTCATAGAGTAAGTCATTAATGCAAATAAATAAAGCCACTTTCTGAAGTGACACTGAAATGCCTTAAAATTAGGATTATTTTTAAATAATATATCTAGCAAAGAAATTAAAAAATAAATGGATAGACAAACTCACTTCCTATGGAAGCAAGTACCCTAGTAAGAGTACGATTAAAGTACTATTTTTTATTTATTTTTATTTTTTTATTATTTTGTGTATATGTGTCTGTGTACCGTCAGATCAGATCTGACTGGTACAGGAGGAGATTGCCCCTCCTTTCCCAGCAGAGCATCTGGTGGATTTGAACCATGCGTCTCTGGGATTGCAGTGCAGCTTCTTGCCACTAGGCCACCAGAGCTCCCCTTAAAGTACTATTTAAGATCAGAATTTAAGTATGCTATATAAGATCACAAAAGAAAGTAGTAAGAGGAATCAAAATATAAATAGTTACCAGAGAAGGTATATAAAATCACCTAGATAAGGTAGGAGAAGGTAAAGACAATATCTAACATGGGGGTTGATTAGACATTGTAATTAATTAGTTAATTAATTATAATTAATGTTATAAAAGAAAAATGCATATGAATTATGAATTACATTGTTACTAGAAGGAAAACCAAATAACTAATAAGAGGAAAGGGAATAACTAAAAAAAGTTATAAATAAGAGTTTAACTCTTATTAAGAAAATAAAATGAGGAATCAGAAGAGAATAGAATTGAAGTTTAAAATATAGATTTGTTAACCATCCATTTTAGTTCCTAAGAACCAAAGAATAAGCATATTTTAATATTGGAGAAAAAACCCTTTTTCACTTTTCCAAAAGAGAGAAAACTTTCCTAAAACCTGAAGAACTCAGTATTGTACTTAAAAACTATTGACTTTTGGGATCTGAATTTTTGCTGATTATTGAGAGAGATGAGCATCGAGACGGAGGAGAGGACTTAATCAGTAAATCAGTAGAATATAACCTGCATCAAATAGTTTCTAACATACAGTAATAAGTACAGAAAGCCCAAACAAACGTGAAGATATACAGAGCTAAATAAGTCAGAAAATTACAAAAGTCAAGGGAAAGAAAACAGTCCAATCAAGACTTAAAGCTCTGCAAAAAGAAGCAAATGAAAAAGTGGATTTTCTAGTATTTTTAAAAGGTAAATTAGATTAAATTAAGCTTACTTCTGACAGTGTTATTAGGGACTGATGAGACAGAGAGGCATCCATGCCTCTGGCTGAAAGTTGTTCCTACAATTACAAAAAAAAAAGGGGGGGGGTGTCAGTGAATAAAAAGCATCTTGAAGGTTGTTGTTATGTGCCGTTGAGTCACCTGCGACTCATAGCGATCCTATAGACAACAGCCCTAAACCCTGCTCTATCCCTTGCCAATCTTCTCGTCTCTGACACGCCTATTCCTGTTACCCCAGTGACTGAATTAATCCATTTTATCAAGGGTCTTCCTTTCCTGTCTTTCCACCTCCCAAGCATGAAGTCCCTCTCCAAGGACTGATCCCGATCTTGAAGGTGAGCATCACTAAATGTTTTCAACATCTACAATAGTAAATAAGGAAATAAATGGGGCAAAGATGAAAACTATGCACAGATCCCTCTCAGCACTTTATGTAGGAATCATTCCTATATAGGTGCAAAGCTTGAGGGCCTACACTTTGGAGTCTGAGCAGCTGGGTCTGGATTAGGACTGGATCCTAAGTAACAACAGACCTTGGGCTAGTTACCTGTGCTCACTGTGCCTATGTTCTCTCAGCTGTAAAAAAGGAGTAAGACCACTGTCTACTTATGAGGAAAAGGTATAAAGGAAATGTCACTGTATTCAGTCCTCTATACAAACCTCTGTGGCTTGGATCTCAGTTCTGAACTCCTGTGATTTTGCTTTTAGGAAGTTCATGTTTTGAAGACGCTGGTCAACTTTGGCCCTTTCTTTACTGAGATGCTGTTCTGCCTTCTTGAGATCTCTTTAAAAAATATAGGTAAGAACATTATTTTTTTCTTCTCAGTGAAATGATTATTTTAAAAAAACCCTACTTAAAAAAAAT